TTGACCTGCAGGGAGTGGCGCTGCCCCTGGAAAGGTGGGCAGGGCAGGCTGGGGTCAGGGAGGTACCTGCTTGAGATTCCTGTGTCTCTGAACCTGCTGTTCCTCCCAGGAGGGACCTGAGCTCCAGTCCTTGAGGGTGTCTGGTTTCCCAGGAAGTGGAAGTCTCCTTCCTTGTGTTCCCTGCTTTGGGGTCCTGGGCTCTTGGGAAGACCCAGCTTTCTTCTGACCCCCTGTGAGGCTGCCCTGGCCCCGGGACCTCCTCCAGGGGCTGAGATTTGGGGCTAGGTTAGAGTGACCCCAGAGGAGCTGAAATTTCAGCCTGGGCCACCCGAGCTGTAAGCTGACACTTAGGTAGGTAGCAGCAGCGGGCCACCCTCCCCGTGGGAGGTGACTGCCTTGTCTCTGCTGCCCCTGTAGGAAGGTGGGATGTAGGCTGGCAGGAGGGCCAAGAGCTGAGGGGCCTTCGAGGATGTTCCTCCACTGTTGGCATGCCCATTTTGCAGATGGGGAAACTGAGGTTCAGCAAAGTTATGGGGTTGCCAGGGTCCCTTGCCCAGGGAGCAATGAACCTCATGTTGCCCAGGTGCTGGGAGCCTGCTCCAAAGATGCACCCCCCCCCCCCCGCCAGGCCTGTGTGCTTCCTTCTTCCTTCTTCCTGCTCTGACCACCCTCGGCTTCCCCCAAACCCTGGCGCGCCATGGTCCTTGCCACCTCTCTATGCCCCTCCCTGCCAGGGCCTCCACTTCTCCCTGCCCTGGCAGCAGGGGAAGCAGTACTTCCGGAAGGTGGGGGCTGAGGGTGGGCGTCTCAGGAAGCTCTGGGGCCCTGCTAGCTGCCCGCTACAGAGTTTCGGTTCCGGGGGGTCCCCAGGCAGGGATGGGGTGCTTGTGCCCTGTCTGGGCGCTTGCTCCCCGCTCCTGCTGAGCCCCTCCCACCTCAGCCCCATCTCCTGCTCTGGGATGTCCTGTCGGCCCTGGACTGCAGCGGCTTGGTGGCCTTTTCTGTTGATCCCCAGTGGCAGTGGCCTGAGTGCTCTTGGGAATCTAGAGGGCTGGGTGGGGTGGGGGCCGGGAGGTCCCTGGCAGCTAGGGAGGGGGCCAGAGGCCTGGGCATGCCCCCCCCACAGTAGGCTGGCATTTCCTGCCACCTCCGCTGCCTGTCTCCCCTGCCTGCCAGGCAGAGGCCGGAAGGGGGTGTGGGGGTTCCCTGGGCTTCCTGTGGTATAGGGCGGGGGAGGGGCAGTGCTGGTGGGCACCAGAGGGGGAGCTGGGCTGCTGCTCAGGAATCGGTGCTTCTGCAAGCGCGCCCCACGTGCCGCACGTCAGCACCTCCTCCCAGCGCCCGTCGCCACCGCCGCCACTGGCACTGCTGTGGGGCAGCGATTAGGGTGAGCATGTCCTTTATTTCAGTTTTACGGTCTGTCACCTTGGTCCCCTGGGCTGTGCCTGTGGTCTGGGGAGCTTCCCTGTCTGCTGTGGGTGCTGGGCAGCAGGGGCATCTCTGCTACCAGGTGATTGGCTTTGAGTCGGCCTGGTGCCGAGGGGAGTTGGGGTGCTACCCTCCCATGCGGCCCACAGGTGGCTGGCATGTGCCTGCGCCTTCTCTCCTCTCTTGCCCATCCCGAGGTCCTGTGAGTCCTGCCTGGCTTCTCTTCCCCGGGCCGGGTAACAGTAGTTGCTGGGGGTGAAAGGGTTGGGGTGTGAGGTTCTGGACTCATGGCCCAGGTTCTGTGGTTTCAGGAGTCGGTGACTTGGTTCCGCCACCTGGGCCCTGCCCGTCAGGGTCCCCTGCACTGGGAGGCTGTGTGTGTGAAGGTTCATGGGCTCAGGAATACCACCCCATCGGGGTCAGAGCCTAGAAGACAGACTCGCGGTACCCGGGCATGGGACGTAGGCAGGGTGCCGGCCTTTCCCCGAAGGCCAAGGGTGCGGGGCCTCTGTTACCTGTCCCTTTCTCCTGGGTTGCTGTCACCCAGGCTCTGGGAAGGTGTCCGTGGGGACATTCTGTGTCAGCAGGAAGGCTGGGCTGGGGCCTGAGGGTAGTGGCTGGGCCGAGGCAGGCACTGCTGGGATGACCACCTCTGTGCACCCCGGACCTTCCTGGGGTTCCTCCCTTCTCTGCTGCCCCTGCTTCCTCTCTGTACCTTCAGGGCCAGTTCTGGCCTCTGCCTGATCAGCCTCCTTGCAAATTTAGGCCAAGCGTGGGTGCCTTGATGAGCCTGGGGAACTTTAGGGTACAGCCTGGTAGTTGGCAGCTAGACAGTTCCTTCCCTCCCCCACCCGACTCGTCCTCCCTCCCTCCCTCCTTCCCTCCTTCCCTCCCTCCCCCTTCCCTCCCTCCCTTCCTTCCTTCCTTCCTTCCTTCCTTCCTTCCTTCCTTCCTTCCTTCCAGTGAGGCTTTCCCCTATTCCTCCCTCCTCTTCCTGCTGGGAAGCTAGCCTGAGCCAAGGCTGCCCACACAGGGCCAGCTGAGCCCTGGCCTTTGCCTGCTGCCTCCTGGTGGGCCAAGGGATGTGGCCTGGAGTCTGAGGCTGAGCGCCCCCTTGCTCCCTGGCTGGGCTCCCTTTGGAGAGACATTCCCTGCCTGATGTCTGGGGGCAGCTAGCTAAGGAGAGCTGCCTGCCCCAGCTGGGTGTGGTGGTGCCTGCCTGTGATCTTGGTAGGCACTACTGAACCCCTGGACGACTTAAGCAGGATTGCGAGTTTGAGCCCAGCCTGGGCAATTCAGGGAGATCTTGTCTCGAAATAAAAAATAAAAATGTGTGAGGGATGTATTTCAGCGCAAAGGCGCTGAGTTCAATCCCCAGTACTGAAAAAAAGAAAAAGCCACCCAGATGTTACAGCAGCTGGCCGTTTACCCTCCAGCACGGGCCTAACACCCCAGTCCTTTGTGACCCCAGACAAGCAGTAGGGTGTGAATGTGTGTGGAGCCCAGGAGGGGCTTCTGCTTGGCTGAAGAACCCTCACCGCTTGGGAGGCCAAGCAGACAGTGCGGTGGGGTCCTGCGGGGGGGGGGGGGGTATTCTAGGCCGATGCCCTCATGGCTGCCCCTGCATCGGATGAGGAGCTCCTCGGGGCTAGCTGGCAGTCAGCTCGAGCTCTGTCCTTCTTTCCCAGAGTTGGTGGTCTCTTTCAGTTGTGCTGGTAATGGAATGGGATGGGACAGGAGTGCAGGGTGGACCCAGCGGGGCTGGGGCTCAGCAGAACTGAGCATGCCTGGGCACAGATGAGAAGCTGAGGCTCGCAAAGGAAGCGAGTGGCATCTCCAGAGTCCTTGCCTGGGGGTTGGTGGTGTGGGGCTGTGATGGGGACCGTGCTGATCCTTCCACTTGGCCAGGGGCACTGCAGCACTCGACAGACCTGCACCCGTGGGTGGCCCTTGTCTGGCACCTTCTCTGTGCTTTCCTGTGTGTCAGAGGTGGGTGGCACTGGCTTCTTCGGCAGGCAGCGTCATGTGTCATACTCTTGTGAGCGTTGATTCTGCGTCTGTCTTGGGGACACTTTGCCTGTCTTCTCTGGCCGGTCCCTGGGCTCCCCTGGGCCCTCCTGGGATCCTTCACTGTGCTGGAAACCTCAGTATCTGAGGTCCCCTCTTCATTGAGGGACTTTGTGGGTCATGGGGCTGAGCCACAGTGCCCGCTTGGCTGGTCACTGTCCCGACTGCTGAGTTCTGGGATCCCTTATGTTGCTGTTTTGACGTTCAAGGAAATGATGTGTCCTGATGCTGCGGGTGGCGAAGGCTCCCAGTGGTTTGCAGTGGCTCCCAGATGGGGCTTCGTTGCTGGCAGAATGCGTCCCTTGGGTGTGCTTGTGGCAGCCACCAGGCCCTGCCCTCCGCAGTTGGAGCTGGTCCTGGATTGCCTGGCTGACCTGGAACCCAGGCCCCTGTCTGGCGTCCTGCAGCCTGGTCCAGGAGGAACTACCCAGGCAGCTGCAGGATGAGGATGAGCTAAGGGGCCTCCCTGGAGTTGGGATCTTGTGGGGCCCCCTGTGGCCCTGGGGCCTTTGTGCTGGCATTGGCGAAGCTGCTGGAGTCCTTCCTCTGCTGTACATCACTTTTGAGTTCAGCTTTCTGGGACCCAGGGCAGAGTGTGGGCCTCGGCTGGAGCTGGCCAGGCTGAGTGCCATGCCACAGTGGCTGCGGTGGCCAGAGGTGGTGGCGTGTCCTGGGCCTTTGCTTAAGGTCACTTCCTGCCCTGGGGCACAGTCACTGCCAGTGGGTGAGGTCCAGGCCAGTGGGGGCATTGTAGGTATGGCATGGTGCAGCAGGTCTGTGTCCCTGCTCTGGGGCACCTGTGTCCAGTCACAGCCTCTTCTTGCACTGTGCGACCAGCTGGCTTCCCAGAAGCACTTGAGGTCTCAGCAAGGTGGCCAGGAAGGACCAACCTATACTGCAGCTAGGGGTTGTGGCCTAAGAGGGACAGCTAGGTCCTTGCAATGTGCAAGTCCCTGTGTGTCCCCACTGGGTGGCCTGTTGGTCAGGGAGCAGTGAATGGGCCACTTGGGGGCTTCTGTAGCCTCAGGCGTGGAGGCTACTGAATGCTGACCCAGGGCTTTGAAATCATAGAATAAAGGCTGGCATGGGGGTGTCCCTGACCGAGGCTGCCTGGAAGCTCCCTGCTCACCCAAGGTGCCAGGTGTCCCCTCCTGCTTCTGGGCTCCTTGGAAGTCAGGCACCTGAGGCTGTGAGACCTGGGCACCATGGCCATAGCCCTGGAGCCCTGGTACCTGTCCTGGCTCCACACAGCAGTTGCGACCCTGCAGGGCCTTGCGGGTCCATCCATAGCGTGGGTACCAGCAGCGTCTGCTGTGCTGCTTTCCCTGCATCATACACAGGTGGCTCCCTGGCCTAGCCCTGGATGGATATGTTGGCCTTGGTGACAGTCAGGCCACGTCAGGCGGGGTGGGTGGGGTTTCCTGTGGGCCATGCCCAGGGTGTGAGCAGGTGGCGGGACCTCTGCGGGCCTCTCTGACGCCCCTCCGTGGATTCTTGTCTTGCAGACTTCTCCACCCAAGTGAACTCCTCGTCCCTCAACTCCCCGACGGGCCGGGGCTCCATGGCGGCCCCCTCGCTGCACCCTGCGCTGGGCCCTTCCATCGGCTCCTCACTGGGCTCCCCGGGGCAGCTGCACTCACCCATCAGCACGCTGAGTTCGCCCATCAATGGCATGGGCCCACCCTTCTCCGTCATCAGCTCACCCATGGGCCCCCACTCCATGTCGGTGCCCACCACACCCACCCTGGGCTTTGGCACTGGCAGCCCCCAGGTGAGTGCAGATGTGGGGGGTGGGCCTTACCTGCAGGCTTGGCCAGGGCCTGTGTCCACCTCTGGCTGCCCTTGGCCCAGGCTTTCTTCTCTGTCTGACTGGGTCCTGGCCCACCTGGGAGCTCTGGGGAGATCTGGGCAGGGGGGGGCATCTCCACCTCTGCAGCCTGGTGCCAACTGAGTCAGCGTCACCCTCTTGGCTCACGCCCGGTGGTCTCTGCAGCCCAGCAGGCACCCAGGGTGTCCAGGCTTCATGCAGGGATGCAGATCCTGGTACTTGGTGGCCTTGGCTCCTTGTGCTCTGTGGGCACCAGGAGTGCACAGGGCTTGGGGACCTTTGGCGGTTAGAGTCTGGTCAGATGCTTCTCCACCGCCACCTGGCTTCTTTGTTCCTTCTGGATCTGGAAGCAGCTGTTGCTGGCAGGCCCAGGTCTTGCTGTGGGGCCCTAGGGAATCCTTGTCCAGCGAGGTGCTGGGTTCCCCCTGCTGCCTGCTGTGTGTCTCCTGCTGGATTTCCAAGTGGACTTCTGCATGGATGCTCTCCAGGTCCTCTACCTGGCAACTGGCCCTTGGGGGCCCCATCTGTCCTTCCTCAGATAGGCGGGAAACCTCCTTGCCTGCTCTAGTTTTTAAGCTTAGACTTAGTCTTTTGTGCCCAGTAGCTGAAACTCTGTGGCAGGGAGTTCTGTGGCCATGTCACAGCCTCACTCCAGGGCAACCCTCAGAGTAGCCCTGGTCAAAGCCAGGCAGCTCATTGCCACCAAGGGCTCCCAGGCCCCTGTGCCCATGGGAGCCGCTCTCCCCAACTTCCCCAGCCCTCTTGTTCCTGGCCAGGAGGCCTGGGACGTGCTCAGTGTCAGAGCTGGCCACTGTCCGTCCATGGGGCCCTCTCAAGCTCTGGCCCCCTGGAGAACCTCCCTGGTTTCTCCAGGGCAACCCCAAGCCCTTTTCTTGGGGTGAGTGCAGAAGAGTTGGTTCTCCTGCTGAGGGACACTGTGCCATCCTGTCTCCTGGCCTTCCAGCGGCACGCAGAGACCTGAGCTGCTGGCACAAGGGAGGCCCGGCCAACTCTCTGGGTCTGGCCGTGCTATTTTTAGCATGGCTGCCCCACACCCGCTCCTGCTGACAGCCTGGTGCCACGTGGTGAGAGGGCAGATGAAGGCTCGGCATACATGGGCCTGGCTTCCCTGCAGGTGGCACCTGCTGGCCTTGCAGCTCCACGAGGCTGGGCCCTGCCAGCCCCCGGCCTGTGCTGCCTATGGTATGCAGCAGAGTGGCTCAGCTCTGGGAGCAGAGGGCTTTGGGGGCGACATCGGTCCTGCTCTGTCACTTCCTGTGCACCAAGAGGAGGGTGCATTGTAGTCCTCAGACACCAGGATGCGGGCAAGAGCCCCAGGGGGTACCCTGAGGCCGATGAGGCGGGGAGCAAACCCCGACACGTGCCAGGCTGTCCCTGTTGGGCTGTACACCTGTCCGAGCTGGTCCTTGCTCCCTGGCTACTCAGTGGCTGTGGTTCGGCTGGAACATACAGCTCTATCCCTGGCAGTTGTGTCTGGCTCCTGCCTCGGATCCCTGGGGTTCCGGTGTTGATGGTGGTGTGGGCGGACTTTGGGGGTGTGCCCCATTCCCAGCCTCAAGCCACAGAGCTAGCTGCCTGAACTAGCGAGATCCCTTGAGTCCCACCACCCATCTTCTGCCTGGCTCTGCCTGCTCGAGGTTTCCGCTGGTAACGGGTGTCCACTGGCCCTGGGGGCTGGGCAGAGCCATGCCTGGGAGGTTGGTGAGGACACCCGGAGGTGAGAGGTGGCCTGGGAGGTGGACCTGCGAGCACGGGGTGTGGTGGGTGCAGGAGAAAGGAGCAAGGAGATGGGCAGGGCTGGGCGGGGTGCTGGTGAGGCGGGAACTGAAATGCACCTTGCGGATGCGAAAGGGGAAATGGATGGGCAGCCCCCACCCTGCCACAGGAGGGCTGGGGTTCTGGCAAAGGGCGGAAAGGCCATGACTGGGAATGCTGAAGTCCCCAGTGTCGGGCTATGGGGACGCCTGGGGCTCCACCTGTGAGCTTTGAATTGGGGACCTGGGCCCCTTGGTTCAGGGCTGGGCAAGACAGGAAGACTTCCCCCTGACCCACCCCATCTCCACTTGCCACCCTGTCATCCATGGTGGTGCCCCGAGAGCCCCCTAGTGGGCCCAGTTCTGCAGTGTGACCCCCAGTCTTGCCCAGGTCTCCTGGTGGTGCATGTCCTGGGAGCCTTCCCAGCCTGGTGGGGACTGACTGGGGAGTATGACTCCCCACTCCTCCTCATTCTCTAGCCCTGCCTCAGTTTACCTCCAGGCCGTGGGGCAAGGAGGCTGTGTGTAGGCCTCCATGTGGTTTGGGGCAGCCACAGAAAGAGGAAATGCACGAGGTTCCTCCCTGGCACTGCCCAGCGGCTTGGACCTGTATCACTGAGCTCGGGAACCCCACCAGTCTCGGGCCCCAGGTCTCCCCTCTGCCAGGGCACAAACTGTGGCCCTGGGGCCCAGCACGTGGGGCACTTTGTGAGTGGTGACAAGGACTGTCCTAGTGCTGCAGTGGAGCCCTGAACGCCAGTGCTCTGGGCCAGGCGCACCGGCTCCGGGGAAAGGGGGCTTGGGATAACAAGCACATCCCTCCGGTCCCGTGAGAGAGGGGGATGGGGCCCAGGGTGGTGAGGAAGGAAGGAGCTGAAGTCCCTGAGCCAGGGGTGGCCCGGGGCTACCAGAGGGCAGGGGGGCTGGCGGCAGCTGTGCAACCCTCTTTCCGCCTCGGTCGGGGGTGGGGGGGGTTTGCAGAAGTCGGGGATCTGCCCAGCTGGGGCTGTGTGCCTGGCAGACGACCGCCTGGTGGGCTGGGGGCTGGGGGAGCCTCCGGCCCAGTGTGCTGACTGCAGAGCCTGGCTGGAGGCAGCGGAACCAAAACTGCTGTGTCATTGCACGCTGCAGCTGTTGCCAGGGCAACTGGGTGAGTTTCCCACGCCTGCCCTGGTGGCTGGCGGGTGGGGCTGAGGGATGTGCAGAGGCTGAGGTGCCAATGCTGCCCCGTGCCTGTGGGTGCTGGCTCGCACCCCTCCTGTCGTGTGGTGGGGGCCACTGCCCTGCAACATGGATGGGGCGTGTGTGGCTGGGGAGACCCAGTCTTCCTCTGTCTGTCTCACGAGGAAGCCCCCAGCCAGGGCTCAGTGACTGCAGGCAGCCCTTGGGGGCTTGGTGGGACCCTCCTGTGTAGGGTGGGGCCGCGGGGGGTCCCCAGGTCTGTGCCTCTGTAGTGGCCTGGGGCCTCTCAGGAGATGGAGACCCTGGGGTTGGCTGGGCGAGTGGGCAGAGCAGAGCCCTGCCATCCAGGGACCGTTGGCATGCCGCCCCTTGGATGTGTGGCCCATCTGTAAATTGGGGGTGCTGCAGGGCTGTCAGGGGTATGCAGAGTTGAGCTGGCCAGGTGCCTAGCATTGGCCTGCCTGGGACTGACCCTCCTGGACCTCTCTCCACAGCTCAGCTCTCCCATGAACCCTGTGAGCAGCAGCGAGGACATCAAGCCCCCCCTGGGGCTCAATGGCGTCCTCAAGGTCCCCGCCCACCCCTCAGGGAACATGGCGTCCTTCACCAAGCACATCTGTGCCATCTGCGGGGACCGCTCCTCAGGTAGGGCTGCGGGTGGGTGGGGGCGCAGGGTGCAGGGTGGAGAGGTGAGAGCCAGGGAGCCTCTTCCATGCCCCACTATGGTCCTGTCTGTGAGTGCAGAAACCCAATGAGGTTGGCATCTGTCCTGAGGCTTCTAGTAAGGGGCAGCGAGGGTAACCAAGGGCTGGACAGAGCCCCTGTGTGATGGCCCTGAACCGCACAGCGTGGGACTGAGGCCGTGCTTTGCCTCCCCGGGTCCTGTGTCCAGGACTCGAGACCCACAGGTGGCGTCCAGGGGCATCCACCCTCCAATGAGCAGGAGAGTGAGGCAGGGCCCAGCAGGCCTGGGGGGCGGGGGCCAGACTCAGCCCTGGTGGGACCGCGGGGCAGGGGTCCCAGCCAAACCCCGCTCACCTGCCCTAGGCAAGCACTATGGCGTGTACAGCTGCGAGGGCTGCAAGGGCTTCTTCAAGCGGACTGTGCGCAAGGACCTGACCTACACCTGCCGTGACAACAAGGACTGTCTGATAGACAAGCGGCAGCGCAACCGCTGCCAGTATTGCCGCTACCAGAAGTGCCTGGCCATGGGCATGAAGCGGGAAGGTAGGAGTGTGGGGGGTGGGGCTGGGGCCTCCCTCCAGCATTCGCCCAGGGGCGAGGGGCTCAGGCACAGAGTCCAGCCTGGACCTTGAAGCTGGCCAGGGTGTTGCTGTCTCCCTCCAGACTCTGCTCCATGGTGGGCAGTGGGCAGAGCAGCCACCTAGAGCCTCTGCACCCCTGCTGTGAAAGCCACGGCTCCAGCGCCGGCCAGTGAAGGGCAGGAGCGTGTCTGTGTGGTGAAGGGGGAGGGTGTGCGTGTCTGTTAGGGGTCCTCTGGCTGCCCAGCTGCCCAATGAGGGGATGGCCAGGGAGCCCTTGGGGAAGTGGCCTCTGGAGCCCTGGGTGGCAGGTGTCCCCGAGCGGCTGGATGTAGGGTCCTCTTGAGGCTGCTCTGGTTCTGGTTTCCGGCCCTGGCAGAGCCTAGCTCCGCACAGGACCTTGGGTGGAGAGCAGGACTTCAGAGCCTGTTGCACTGAGATTTTTGTGGCTTGCAGCTGGGTCTAAGCAGTGGTGGCCTGCTCACCCTGCTCAGCCTTCCTGCACCCCGGGCCTCAGGCCCACTTTACCATGGGCTCGGACTCTCCGCCTTCTCACCCGCAGCCTGGCACCCCTGCGTGTGAGCAGCAGGATCCCTGGGGGTGTGCACGGCCGTTTGCATGGGGCAGGACAGGGCCTGTTGCTTGGTACATGGCTCCGTGTGTGCTGTCTGGCCTCCTCTGCTGTGTTTGTGCCTGTGGTACAAGGGCCTCTTCTCCTGCGCCCAGCCCTGGCGGGTCCCTGGTGTCCCTGTGATGCCCACCCTGAGTGGTGGCTGCCGGACTGCCACCTGTCCATCTGTCTCTGCTCTGTCTTTGGCCTCTGCCTCACTAGAGAAACTGAAACCTCAGAGAGCCACTGTCCCACAGTGTTTCCTCCCCCGGACTATGAGTTGGGTGAGCCATGCAGGATGGGGACACTCAGGCAGCTCTCGTCCCCCTCCCAGGGTGGCAGTGGAGCCCCAGAGCGTTTCGAGCCAGGGCTTTCTGGTTGGGGTGCACAGTTCCTAGAGCACTGGGAGTTTGTGCAGGTTTGTTTTTTGCTGTGTAGATTGGGAAAGTGAGAGCATTCAAGCCTCGTCCAGGGTCGGTTGTTGGGCTGATAGCCTGCCCTCCGCCCCCTGTTCCTTCTGCCCGAGACAGGCCAGAGGAAGCCAGAGCTCTGGCAGGGAAGGGTGGACTCTAGGTGTTTCGTGTAGTCAGGGAGGGCTTCCTGGAGGTGGTGAGTGCAGCATGGTCCCTGCAGGGTGGGAACTGGTGAGGAGTGAGCTGGGGTAGGCAGTGGGCCAGGTATGCGCCCAGGTGTGGAGTGTGCGGCTGGGCCCAATGTAGGAGGTGGCACTTTGTGCACCTTGTCAGCCTCCTTGGTGCCCACACACACTCCCTCATCCTCAGTATGCTGCCAGGCATCGTGCTGGGCCCAGGGTTCTAAGCCCTACTCCATTGACAGCATCCAACACGTGACCAGGCAGGGCCCCAAGGGTGTGACGGGAGCTGGCTGTGAAGCTGAGGTATGGGCACCTGGCCCAGCTTTGGGCGCGGGGCACACAGCTCAGGTGGTAGGAGGGAGTCCAGACTGACACCCAAGAGAAGGCGGCTCAGGCCCTGGGCCCGGCACCCGGAAGGGCTGCAGTGCAAGCCTGGTGGGCACCCTCGGCCCATGAGCCTCCTTGCCAGGCTGGTAGCTGTCCAGGGCCTGCTATTCCCAGGCTCCCGGGCTGCTTCTCTGAGGCCTGGGAGGGGGCATAGGTGACGCTGCCCCTGCACTGTGCAGTTTGGAGCTCTCCTAGGGTGAGCCTGACCCCTCCTGGTGCCCCTGCTGCATCCCATGTCCACTGTGCTCTCCAGCCTATGCCCCGATGCCGACCGAACTTAATGGATAGAGAGGTGGGTATGGGGCAGGTGCCCCTGGGGCTCTGTGGGGCAGGTGTGGCCTCACTGGCGAGCCCTGCTGCCCGGGGTCTTCACAGCCCCCAATCTTGAGTCGTCAGCCCATCCTCATGGCAGCGAGCAGCCTCAAGGCTTGATTTACGGGCCGTTAGATAAATACCTGATCCTGTCAAGGGCCCTCCTCCCCTTTGTCTCCCGCTGGATTTATGAGTCATGAGGTGCTGTAAAAACCTCCTACAAAGTGCTCTCGTGCCCCAAACACAACAACCACAAAGCGGCCTCCCTGGTGGGTGGCAGAGCGTGGTTCTGTGTAGGCAGCTGGAAGAGGAGTGAGGCTCCTCTGCCCAGTGGGCTCTGCCACCCCACACCTGGTTTTGTGCAGGTGAGACACCTCTGCCCTGCCTGCCCAGGCCTGTGGAGTCTCCTGAGGCCTGTGGTCTGCAGTGCACAGCCCCACTCTTGGGGTGGGCAGCCTCCGAGCAGCTCTGCAGTATGCCCTGCAGGGAGCAGTGGGGAGGGGTCAGGTCCGACCCTGTTAAGTGCCAGGCCTGCTGTGGGCAGCGTTGCCCACTGGACTCAGTCCCCTGGACTCAGCTGCCACCAGGGTGCTTGGAGCCAGGTCTCCCCATGGGGTAGCCCTGTTCCCAGGAGGGGCCACCCTGACTCCAGGATGGGCGATATTCCCACCCAGAGCTGGGCGGTGAGGGCCACCTTGGCTGATAGCGTCTCCATTGGGCAACTGTTGGGCCTGCAGTGGCAGCCGCCTGAGGACCAGTTCCACAGCATTCCCGGGTCCTGGCGGCGGGGCCCTGGCTTATCACCAGGCTGAGCCTGGGCCTGTTTGCTGGGGAAGGCGGAGGTAGGGTTGGGGGCCTGCAGGTGTGCCGATCTGAGGGGGAGACGGACCGGACGTCCTCAGTGTGCGCCCTGTTCTTGGCTTCTGCCTGAGGCTGCTCCCCATTTCCTCCCTGCCTCCCTTTGCTTTCTGTGCGCTGTCCCCCAGCTCTGAGGGCCAGGGCATGGAAAGGACAGGTGTGTGTGTGTGTGTGTGTGTGTGCGTGCACGCACCTGTGTGCAGACATGGCTGGCCTCACCTGTTTGTTTCTGCTGTAGGGAACGAGGCCCCGCTCTTTGAGTGCGGGCTTTGTGGTTCTGGGCAGGTAACTGCCTGTGTGGGCCTAGTGCCCCCACTGTCCCACAGGAGTATCCACACATTCCTGCGTGGCAGAGGAGGTCGCTGCTGGTTGGGGGTGGGGTAGGATGGGTGCCCACAGTGTGAATGAACCTACGTGTGTGTGCTCACGAGCATGTGTGCGTGCATCTGTGTGTGATTGTCAGATTGTGTGATATTCATGTGCTGCCTGTCAGTGTGTCCTTTGTCCTAGGTTGGACCCCCTGTGGGAGACTGCACCAGCAGGACCCTGACTTGCTGTGCAGCCCAGGGAGGGCATCCCCGTGTCTGGCCCTCGGGTGTCCATTAGTGGGATTAGGGGCTGCTCGTTTCAGGGGTCCTCAGGCTGACAAGGGACAGAGAAAGGTTGCAGCCACTGGCAGCCACATGGGCAGCCTGGAGGCCTGGGGTGCCCTGCCCCCTCCCTGTGGTGCTGTCGCCCTGCCCTCCCTAGCTGCTCCCCTGGGATGGGCCTCCTGATTGGTTTGGGGGCGATGGGGGGTCCACCGCAGGCCCGCAGCTCCCACCACAGCTGAGCCAAATGCTTCCCCCAGTGGGGCGGTGTCTCTAGTTAGAGGGACTTTGCCGAGCTGGGAAGGGGCAGCCCTGGCCAGACTGGGGTCCGCCAGGCTCAACCTGTGTCCCCATCGTCCTGGGGTGGACCCCACCGCAGGGAAGGCCTCGCAGCCAGCCTCCGCAGCCTTCTCCCTGCGCCTGGGAGGATAAGGAGGCCCTGTATTCACAGCCGCCTCCCGCCCGAGGCTTCCCGGCGCCAGCGGGGCAGAAGTCAAACAGGCCCGCGTCTGAGAGGTGATTGAGCTGGCGAAACATAAATCCCGCTCCACCTGCCCCTGCAACGTCTATAAATAAAACCATAATATTTATAAAGATGTTGCTCAGAGCTGCCAGGCCCTTCGAGGCTTCAAAGTGCTTCACAAAACATTTGTTAATTAATTCTCGCAGCCACCCGTGGAGGAGGCGCACCCCCCCCCCCACTCCAGGCTTCGGGGAAACCACTGCGAGGCTCCCTTTCAGGGCTGCTGTGGGCCAGGGGCTCCTGCCCCAGTGGGGACGCGGGGTGGGCAGACCCGAAGGCAGGAAGCTGAGCGCACAAAGGTTAGGGGACTTGCCGGAACCACGTTAGAGGTTTCCGGGGTCTGGAGCTATGCAATTCCACCCAGAGCCTGTGGGTTGAAGCTGAGCAGTTCTGAGACGTCAGCTGTGCCCCTTCTGGTTCTCTGATCCTCAGTTTGCCCCCCAGGAGCAGCAGGAGGAGGAGGAGTGAGCAGACACTTAGCTCTCATCTGCCCAGACCCCTTCTGCAGGGCTGAGAGCCTTGGGCCAGGTTCCAGCTGTAATCTCCTGTTCCAGCGCCTCCTGCCGGTGGGATGCTTGGCGTCCTTGGGAGGGGTCCTCTTTCCTGGCCCCACGGCTGTGATCTCTGCCCCCAGAGAAGTGACCCCACCCCAGATGAACTCCCATCGTATGGAGGGGTAGGAGGCAGAGCCCGGCCAGCCTTGGCAGTCCCTGCCCGCACCATCTGCCTGCTGCCTCGGCTGCCCGTTGGCCCCCCTGCCCTGCTGTCAGACATTCTGGGACAGCCAGGCTTGTGGGACTGTAGCCCCAGGCCCACAGGGCTCCTGGCTGGTCATCTGCAGCCTCTGACTCATTTGCTGTCCTTGGGTCTCGATGGGAGAGCAGGAGGTCCCTGCTGTCAGAGCTTAAAAAGATGGCGCCCTCCTGGGGAGGTTTTGGGGTGCTTGTGGGGACCAGCGAGGGGTGCCCAGCAACTGCAGTAGAGTGGTTGTTGCTGCCTGGCAGGGAACCAGGGGTGTAAAAAGTTGATCGGAATCCGTGCAGGGCGGTTAGAGAGCTGTGGGCAGGGAGGAGCTGCACAGGGCTGGAATCCCTGGGACCAGTACAGCAGGGTGGCTGCACCCCTTAGGCTGGAAGGAGGGCCAGGATGGGCAGGAGAGGGAGCTGCAGAGGTGGGGCATGGTAGTTGCTGACAGGCCTGCTAATGCCCCGGTGCACTCGTCCATCCTGCAGACCTTGGGAAGTCAGACTACAGAGGGCCGGGCACAGTACCTAGCAGAGTAGGGAGTGACAGTGGTGATGGCCATGAGAACCGGAGGCTGCCGGGTCAAGGGTCTGGGCCCACCGCCTGGCCTGCATACAGGTGGAAAAGGACCTGGTGCCCATGATGACTGGGTACTGGTGAAGTACGGGGTGGGGTTTGCCTGGCTGAGTGGGGTGTAGAGCAGGGGGTAGAGGCAGCTTGGGGACCCCAGCCCCGGTGCCCTCAGAGCCTCGAGGCCCGAGTGTTGGTGGTGAATCAGTGGGGGAGGGCAGAGACTGAGCCAGTGCAGGGCACAGGGGCCAGAGATGAGAGCTTTGCTGGTGTCTGTGTGTGATGCCAAGTGCTCGTGCCCCTGCCGTCGTCCCTCAGCAGTGTGGCCATTGTTCCTTGGTCTAGAGCACAGTGGCCTCTGGCTCCAGGCCTTGGCATGTGCTGTTTCCTCTGCCTGGACCACTCCCGGTGTCATTGCCACGTCAGCCTAGAGGCTTTCCCTGAGTCCGTGGACTGGACCATGTAGCTAGGGTCCCTGCTGGGCCTTTGGCTCTGAGGAAGGCAGTCTGCCCTGCTCCTGGGCTGGCTCCCGGTGTGAATGTTTGCTGACTGACTTTGTGAGAGGCTGGCATTGTGATCAGAGCACACAGCTGTGAGAGGCCAGGCGTGGGGCAGGCACAGACCGGGCTGACAGGTCACGTGGTTCAGCTGTGCAGGAGGAGCGGCAGCGGGGCAAGGACCGGAGTGAAAGCGAGGTGGAGTCGACCAGCAGCGCCAACGAAGACATGCCCGTGGAGAAGATCCTGGAGGCCGAGCTGGCCGTGGAGCCCAAGACCGAGACATACGTGGAGGCGAACATGGGGCTGAGCCCTAGCTCGGTGAGTCCCCCTTGGGGCCTGCCTCAGTCTCCCTGGGTCCTTGTTGGCGCCTCGTCTTCCCTGGACAACCAGGGAAACAGAGGGCTCCTTCTGTGGGCCCCTGGTCCCCGCTGCGGTCCCCTCAGTGGGCTCCCTGCCCTGGGCCTGCACTGACCCCCCTGGACCTGCCCCCGAGAAAGCTGCGGGGAGCTGAGTCCTGGCAGGCAGCTCTGCCTGCTGTATGTGTCCCCAGGCAGGTGACGCCTTTTTGTCCTGGAAACAGACATGATGTGGCCAGAGGGGGCAGCCACTGTGGTGGCTGCTAAAGCTGGAAGTGGCTCTGGGACTCGCTATCCAGCCTTGCTCACCCTGGTGTCCATAGGAGCAGCCTTGGCTTGGCCGCCCCTGCCCTCTGGGCCACCTGCTGCCTCCTCTGCCTACAAGTGAGGGCAGGATGGACACTGGTTCGTGTCCCCTTAGACTCCCCAGCACTGGGGGAGCCCCGCTGGCCTCTGCTTCCTCCCTCACCGGTTGTCAGCTCCCTTGTGCCTCCATGTCTCTGCCTGGTGTGGCTGGGTCCTATGTGGTGCCCAAGCCCCTTTCTAAGCCCCACCTGCCTGGGATATAGGAACCTGCATGGCTTTGGGGCCTCTGGGCCTCTGGTGAGCTCACCTGGATGGGCCACCTTGTGTCACAGCCCTGCTGAGAAGGTGGCCGCAGCCAGGCCTGGGCAGGGGTGAGTTTCTGACTATGGGAATCCAGGCAGGAGATGTCCCTGGCCAGAGCTAGGCAGTGGGGCACAGCTCAGACACCACCCACCTCTGGCCTTCTGTTGTCTCGGTGTGTTCCAGCTGGCTCTTGGGGACCTGGATCTGTTCAGGTGTGGTCAGCACAGCTTCTGGACAGCATCTGAGTCTGTGTGGGTTCAAGGCTGGACCAGAGCCCTGTGGCTGGCCCCTAGAGCCCTCGTCCAGGGAGACCTCCAGGTTGCCTTGCCCCTCCTCGGCCCTGTGTGGCTTGGGTCCCAGCTAGGATGTCAGGTCCTGGAGAGGCCTCTGCCCACCCCGCATCTGTGCCCTCCCAGCCTGGCCGACCTGAGGCCTCCATGTCAGGTGCCTGCAGCCTCCTCCCCGAGTGAGCCTTCAGCAGGCGCTGGCAGGCAGCTGGTTTCTGTTGTGGGACCCTCCAAGGTGGTCACTGTTCCTCTTTGCAGAGCCTGGCCCTGGCGAGATCTGAAACAAGGGATTCCCTACCCCCACCCTGCCCTGGTGTCTGTCCTGTGGCAGTGTGACTTGGAGATCCCAATCCCAGCCCCGCTGGTGCCCCTGCTCCCCAAGAATGACAGGGCAGCTCCACTCTGGTCAAGTCAGACTCTGATGCCAGTTCAGCTCTGCCGAGGGCCTAGCATCTCTGGTGAGGTGCCTGCGCCTACCAGCTCTGCCCAGGACCTGGTGTCTCTGTTGAGGTGCCTGCCTGCCCACCCAGAGTCACCTCTGCATTGGTTAAGAGCACGAACGCACTGGGCCTGGGGAGGCACCATGCAGACCCTGTGGGCTGGGCTGCTTCCCGGGCTGCCGGGACACACTGCCGTGTGCTCTGTGGCTGAGCGTGAGCCTGAGGTTAGCATCTTGGGCTATGAGATCAGAACGCCCAGTCAGGCTCATGAGATTTAGTCCAGCTGCATGCTGGGTCTCGGTCCTCACACTGGGCCTGGGCTGCCTTCAGACTGGCAGACTGCCTCCCCTGATCTCAGGCTGCCGTGGCTCTGGCCTGTCCACCCTCCCAAAGCCCCTGGCCGTACCACTTGCCTGGGAGTGCCTTTCTGTGCCTGTCAGTCACACCACAGGGCCCAGGGCCCCGATGTGGCCTCCTGTTCAGTCCCCTCCTGGGTTTGTGGTGTGCAGGGCAGGCCTGGCCTGGGCCTTGATGCTGTGTCTCCTGTCCTTCTCCACTGCAGCCAAATGACCCCGTCACCAACATCTGCCAGGCCGCAGACAAACAGCTCTTCACGCTGGTGGAGTGGGCCAAGAGGGTCCCTCACTTCTCCGAGCTGCCGCTGGATGACCAGGTCATCCTGCTGCGGGCGGGTGAGTGGCCGGGTGCTGGCACAACGGGGTCGCAGGCAGCGGGATGGTGGGTGGGAGTGGCACCTCGGTTGGGGGTTGGGGACAAGCCGGGGAGTGGGCCAAGATGGGGTCCTCAGCCCAGTCTCCTGTCTGTGAAGCTGGGGGTGGCATAGTGCATGGGGCCTGCGGCTGAAGTGAAGACACTAGTGATTGTCTTGTGCTTGGAGGCTGCTCTGTCCCGAGGCCTGGACATCCCGACTGTCCAGCCCTCTGCCTCTGTGCCCAGCCGGACAGTGACAGCTCCCTCTGATGTGCAGAGTGTTCTGCAAGGTGCTTAGCAAGGCCCTGATCCTCCTGCCTCCCTTGGGGAAGGACCTTTGATTGCATGTGGTCAGGATGGGTCAGGGTTCCCCCTTCTCTAGTCCCTGACCACACTGTCTGTTCCCAGGCTGCTGCTTGTCTCCCAGGGCCGAGGTGTATGTCCCCCTTTGTTATTCTTTCAGAACCTGGTGGGTGTCCTGCCTACCAGGCACACATCTGCTCAGCTCTGCCCAAACTTTTCCGGCCCCCACCTCCCTGCTTAGCCCAAAATTCCAAGCTCTGTTGGCCCGAGAGCCCATCCATCCTGAGGTCTTTGGAAGATGAGTGAGGTGAAGTCCTCATGTGAAGGTGGAGGGATGTCCTAACTAGGAGGGGATGCCAGGACCCCTGGTCTCAGTCACTTTTCTCTTTGCTGAGACACAGGACCTGACACCCACAGCTTCAAGCAGGAGCGATTTACCTGGGCTCAGAATTCAGGGCACAGTCAGCCAGCTCTGAGGCAAAGCTCAGGCAAGGGCCCTGGCAGAGGGAGCCGCTCACACCATGGTGGCCTGGAAGCTGACAGGAAGGAGAATTGGGGAGGGAGATTCACCCTTCTAGGCCGTGTCGCCTGAGGCCCCCTCCAACCCGACCCAAAGTCCAGCTCTTGAACACAGGCGGTTTTGCCGGGACCTCCCAGACCCAAACGTGACACCTACAGTGGTGTCTCTGTAGGTGGTCTTGCAGGCTGGGCAGAGTGGGCAACTGTAGGCCGGGTGACCTCCCTGTGGGCAGGGGGCTGTGCTTAGGTGTTAGTGGCAGCTGCCATACAGCCCCCGCTTCCATCTGACATCAATCTTCCTGCGAGATCATGGCGGAGTGGGTACTGGCCTCTGGTGGCCTCTGGTAGCCATGTGCAGGGACCATCCAGGCACATGGTAGGCCGCCTGACCTGTGCCTCTGCCTAGGTGTTGCCTATGTTGCATAGGTGTTGCATAGGTGTTGCCTGCATAGGGCTGCACATGGGGTCCCAGTGTGGCCCCTTCCTATGCCCAGGACCAGGTTGCCTAAGTCCCCAGTCCCCTGCAGGCATCCCCTGTGACTGGGAAGCTACCCCATGACATCCCACCAAGTATGATCACTGTACCCTCCCCTTGGCCTTCTCCAGGGAGTCTTGGTGGCTTCTCACCCTAGAACAGGCTTGTGCCCAGACTCGCCCTGGCCTGGTCCCTGCCGAGAGTCCTTGCTGTCAGGCTGGCTGCCGGGTACCGTGTGATCGGGTCCCTATCAAGCTGACTCACCAGGTACCCGAATCCTGGGTCCTGTTAGGGAGTCCGGGCTTGAGTTCAACTCTGCTGCTGCCAACGTGTGACCTTGGCCACTTCCTTGGTCTCCTTTTGTGCCCCTTCTGCTGTGGACTCTCACATACCCCTGGATGGTCTGCCTGGGACCCGCAGTGCCGTCCAAGGCAGCCATGGGGACCTGAAATTTGAAACCCATGTCAGTCAGGTGGCTGTACCTGCTCAGCCCAAGGATGAGGTGTGGCAAGCTTGGCTCCCCTCCTCAGGAGATGGGGTCTCAGATCTAGGACCCCTAGGTTCTGGGGGGTTTCCACCATTGTGTGAGCCGTGAGGCAGCCTGGTCTTGAAGCCTGCTATGTGATCACCCTGGGGACCATCCATCTGTACTCGTGAGGGCCCCCTCCTTGGGGTGTGTGCCTCGCTGCAGCTGTCCAGGGGATCATTAGGGGTGACATGATGAGCAGTTCTGGGAGGTGCACCCTGACTGTTCTGATAGTCAGATGGGTAAACTGAGGCAGACAAGGGCTGTTTACAGCTTCCAGACTCCTGTGTTGGGTCTCCTCATCCTGCCTGCCCTGGTCGCATGCTGCTGAGTTCCGAGGCCTTGTGTGCCACTGGAGGTGGGGTCCCCCTGCCAGCCACATCCCACATCCTTGACTCCCACTCACTCATCTGGTTGGTCCTGCTCCTGGCCCTGTCCTGGGACAGAATGCAAGCCAGGCCAGCCTGGGGACACAGCGCCCCAAACGGGCCCCTCAGAGACAGCGGCCCCTGCTATGCTGTGCACAGATGATTCCGACGCCCCGCAGAGCCCCTCTGGCTGCCAGCCCACGGTTCCCCATGGTCACAGGAGAGGACTGCCACACTGACCTCAGACCTGTGTTCCTTTTCAGGTTTTGGTGGCTCCTATGTCAGGTCGCGTCCACCCCAGAGTGGTGGCCTGGGTCAGGGCCTTGGCCTCCTGGTCAGCACTGGCCTCCTTTTGGCAGAGCCCTGTGACCTTGAGGCTGCGCTTGGCCCTGGGTTCCTGTGTGGGTTACGTTTCTGAGTGTGTCTTGCAGGGTCCCAGCTGCCCATGTGGCTGGCTGGACTGCGGTGCCCCAGGATCTGCACCGAGGACTGCAGTGGGATGGAGAGGGACAGTGCTGTCCTGGGGCAGCAGTGAGAGTTGCCCAACGAAACTGTCACACTCTGTGTACTGAGATGACCTCACTTAGCCTGGTTCATGGGGGCGTTAAAACGTGTGCTTGGTCTTCTCTTCCTCTTTTTTTCCCCCTTTTCATTTTAATTTTTAGTAGCATGGGACCTGTGATGAGTGGGTGTCTTAATGCTCCCTCCACTCCTGCCCCAGCCCTTGGCTCCCCTCCTTTTGCTGAGGCTCTGGCTCTGCTGGCTGTGGTCTGTCTTTTGCTCTTTATTTATTTGTGGGTCTCTCATGTAAGAGAAGCTGGGGATATCTGAGCTATACTTACGGGCTCTGGGTGCATCTGCTTTCCGACAGATGACTCGAGCTGATCCTTTGTAGCAGAATGGCACTGTGCAGTGTGGACCCCGCATTTTCTCTGCTCATCTGCTGGGCAGATCGGCTACTTCCAGCTTTCAGCTGTTAGCTTTGTGCTGCTGCAAACACGGGTCATGGGCCACTGGGATACAGTGACCTGAACTCTGTCGGGGAAATGCCTGGAAGAGGACTGGCTGGTCCGTCAGAATTCCTAGCTTTAGTTCTTGCGGAATCTGCACCCTGAGATTCCTGCTGGCTGCATTCTACCAGTACCAGCATTCACCCCAGAAAGAGTAGCGTTTCCCGAACTTAGGTGCTCCTGAGGCTCTTCTCTATGGAAGCCTTTGTGGAGCTGGGTTCCAGCAGAACCAGCTTTGGGAACCCTGGTTTGGGTCTGGAAAGAGAGGGCGAGGAGGGGAGTGCTGGCAGGGCTGGGGAACAGTGGCCGAGTGACCGTGTGCTTCCTCCCCGCAGGGTGGAACGAGCTACTCATCGCCTCCTTCTCCCACCGGTCCATAGCCGTGAAGGACGGGATCCTCCTGGCCACTGGGCTGCACGTGCACCGGAACAGTGCCCACAGCGCAGGGGTGGGCGCCATCTTTGACAGGTGGGGTGGGCGTGGGGTCAGCTGTCCGCTCCCCAGGCAGGCTGTGTCCTGGACGGCACCACACCACAGGATGTGGGGGTCGGGCTGGGCTGCGGAGCCGGGGAGGCTGGTGAGGATGACACAGGCTGGTGCCACCCGGGCCTGGGCCAGCCAGTGGGCCGAGGTGGCCTGAGAGCCCCTTGGAATTCCACGAGGCGCCCCTGCTCAAAGCAGGGCTGCTCACCTGTTTCCCCTGGCAAGTAGTACCCCCTGCTTCCTGCAGCGTGGCCCCTGGTCTAGGGCGTCCCTCTGCTGGCCTACACTGGCTGATGGGACCAGCTACCTGCAGGTGGCCTGGGCCTTGCTTATGGTGAGCCCTAACTCCAGCCTGACTCCACTCAGCCCTTGCAGGTCTCCCTTTCGTGCCTGGTCCTCGGTGCCATTGTAGGGCAGCCCCTGGGAGTGTAGGCTCCACCTCTGGGTAGGACCCAGCGGCCAAGTGTGCAGGGCTGGAGCTCATATCTCTGCTTCTTCCTCTCCAGCCCTTCCCTGGTGCCTCCTCACCTGGCCTTGCCCATCCAAGCCACCTGCAAGGCCACTCTGGGTTCCCTGAGTCCCCAGGGCCTTCCTGTGGTGGGGCTGGTGAGGGGCAGGTGAGGGGCATGATCTGACTGGGACTTGGTGGCCTTCCTATCCTTCAGGGTGTTGACGGAACTGGTGTCCAAGATGCGGGACATGCAGATGGACAAGACGGAGCTGGGCTGCCTGCGCGCCATTGTCCTCTTCAACCCTGGTATGCCCCTGCTGCCCAGCAGCCGGCCCACTGCCCATGACATGCTAGGGGCCACTTTGTGGTGGGCAGCAGCTCTCCACCTTCCACTTGCTGTGGGATTGGCCAGGGGTGGACCAGCCGCTCTCTGGGGGCCAGGGAAGATGCTTCTCCCTGGCCCCTTCTAGTGCTGGACCATGTTGGTGGTCACTTGGCCCTGCTAGGTGTCCTAGGGTGGCCAACGTCACCTCCAGCCTCGGGCCACACAGTGGTGGGGCTGGCGTGGCAGGGGATGGGGGTGCATCCCTGGGTGGGGTGAAGTCGAGAAGAGTGGTGGGTGTGGGGAGCTGGGCCCTGCAGGATGTGGGGAGGAACGGTACAGGGACCGTATTGGAAGCTTGCCGCTCTGCCTGTGGCATGTGGGTAAACAAGGACAGTGGGCACTCCAGGAGACCCCTGGGTAGTGGGCAGGAGGCCCTGTGAGCCCTAGCTCCTCCAGCTTGTCATTCTGTGGGTTGGTCCAGGGTGCTTATGTACCGGGAAGGCCTGGGCACAGACCAAGGGACCCACAGCCTGTCCTAGTACCATAGCTACCGGGAGAACAGATGCAGAAACTGAGGCCCCGAAAGTCAGGGACTGCACCCAGGCCACATGGCTTTCAAGGGGCAGAGCCGGGCTCTCCTGCCCTGGTGGCCTATGGGGTCAGCTGTGCCCCCATTCCCATGCATGCTGCCTGCTCTGTGGATGTGGGACTGGCCTGAGGTCCCGCAGGATCAGGGGCATCACACCTGGCCAGGGCTCTGAGCTGAGGTCACTTCTCCCTGCAGACTCCAAGGGGCTGTCGAACCCCGCTGAGGTGGAGGCGCTGAGGGAGAAGGTGTACGCATCGCTGGAGGCCTACTGCAAACACAAGTACCCAGAGCAGCCAGGCAGGTGAGCCCTGGGGGACCCTGAGGCGGGTTAGGAACCATCCCTGACCGGCGGCTGCAGTGGCCTCTTCTGTAAGCCAGGCCAGAGGTGCCCAGCTGTGGGTACAGAGCACATCCCCTACTCAAGAGGACAGGCACACAGTAGGAGCATGTCCTGGCTAGTGTGGGCCAGGGCCCCAGGCTCCCCCGTGAAGCAGACCCACCAGGGGCCTGCTGGTGTCAGCACATAGTATGCGCTTTACAGGCCTATAGGGTAAATGGCCAGAGGCCTGAGGTCTCCTCTCTCCCCATTCACTGTGCTGGTCCACAGTGGGTGCCGAGGATCGACCAGCGGCTCTGGGACTCAGGTTGCTCTCTGGGCTCTGTTCCTTCCCCCTAAAGGGCACTTCCAGCCTCCCACCCTGAGGCCAGGTGTGCAGGGCTAGGCACACGGGGCGCCCACCCCGCCTCTGCCGACTGGCACACACATGGTTAAGCGGAGCTGCAGGCCTTGTGTGGCTCGGGATGAAGTGAACGGGTTGAAGTGAACTTCCCGGAGGGCGAGGACAGCAGGGGTGGCAGCCGCTTGCTTTTCCTGGCTCCCTGCCTCAGTCCATCTCGGCAGCGCAGCAGAAAACGGCTCTTTCCCTGGCCCCGGTCCAGTCTCCAGGCTGCGTTCCGGCCTTTAAAACTTTGTTGGGGAGGCAGCCAGCGGCGGGGCTTCCTCCCTGGGAAGGGAGGGGCACTGGGAGTAATTCATGAAGCCACATAGGACCCCCAACCTGGGGTCCCATGGGATGCCCCGGCAGACACGGGTGTCTCGGGATGCTGGCCCATCTCCATGTCACTCTGCTGCCCTCGCTCTTGTCTGCTGTGGGTTCCGTGGATGTCTCGAGCTCCCTGAGGTGCCTCTCTGGCTCCCTGGGGGCCCATTTCCTGCATCTTCCAGGCCTGGCTCCCTGTTGCCTATCCTAGGGCAGCCCCCCGTCTCTCCAGGGCAGCAGCTACAGCAGAGGCATCCTCCGATCCCTTCCCAGTGCTCTCTGCCCTGCTTGCAGTTCCTCAGGGGTTCCCTGCTGTCCGGTAAACAGGCAACCTGGCCCCCAGCTCCCTCTCCCCGCCATCCTGTGGGGCCCTGCCGACCTCCCCGCCCTCCACTTGTGCAGGTTCGCCAAGCTGCTGCTCCGGCTGCCCGCCCTGCGCTCCATCGGCCTCAAGTGCCTGGAGCACCTGTTCTTCTTCAAGCTCATCGGGGACACGCCCATCGACACCTTCCTCATGGAGATGCTGGAGGCCCCGCACCAGATGACCTAGGCCAGCAGAGCGGCCGCCTGTCCCTGCCCTTCCCTGCCTGGCCCACGTGGACCTTTGGGCGCTATGTGTCACTGCGGTCCTAAGGGACGTTGCCATCCCGGTCATCTTCGTTGTCACTCATCTGTGGCCCAGGGCTGGTGGCTAAGACCCAGCCGGGGCCCTGCCTGCCGGGGGCTGCAGGCCCTGGGGAGGGGGCTCCTTTGTCGCTGTTTATAGTTGCTGGTTCTCAAACCTCCCTCAGCGCCCCATAGAGTGACTCATCTTTGACAGCTATGTGAGCTCACCTAGGGCCAGAGGCAGGGGCCGGTGGGTGCCAGCCAGGATCTCACTGCAGGAGACCCCACTGCCCACCTGCTGGAGCCTGGGGGACCCCCAGGGCCACGGGGTTCCCTTAGCTCGGAGTGGAGAGTGAGCAGCTCTGCTTTCCAAAGAAAATTGGTGTACCCGCCCCAGGCACCGAGAACAGGAGCCAACCTCTTCGCAGCGTTTTGGGCCACCTCAAGGCCGCAGGGACTGGAGGCGTCATCACCCCACTGTGGTGTCCTCTGGGTCATCATCCTGGCTGCATCTTCTTCTTGCCATGTGTGCCCGCTCAACCCAGGGTACCCCAGGGTCACCACGCAGCATGCAGGGACCCTGCCTGGGCTCTGCTGACCCCAATGTGGACATCGCTGTCCCAGGGAGGGGGAGGAATGCCAGCTGGGCTCCCCCCAGGGAGATGTTGGGAGCCAGAGGGTTTTCTGGGAGAACGAACCATGCAGGCAGGGGCAGGGGCATCTTTTTTCTTCTCTGGCCTCCTCCTCTGCTTGGAGGACTCTGCTGGCCTTGTAGGCCCCGGGGCAGTATTGTTTGTGGGTGACCTCCACCCAGAGCGCTAGCTGGGGCTCCAGCTCCCACGGCTGTTGGAGGCCCAGCTGGGCCCACTGCAAACTGGAGATCTAGCATTGTCCATAGTGGGTACCTGAATGGGCGGCCGGGCAGGTGGGGCTCACAGGAGCAGAGAAGCGGCTCAGGGTGGGGGTTTTGTCCAGCCTCGAGGCTGCTGGAGGGAGGGACAGCTGCATCCAGCTCAGCAGGGTCGCACCAGGCAGAGCCACCCACGCTCTGGGTCCCCACCCCACACCCAGCTCGGTGCCTTCTGCGGCCCGGGGCACCCCACTGTGGTGTCACCCGTGCTCACTCCTGCCTGTGCAGTGCCCTCGGGCTCCTGTGCGCCCTTTGGGGGTGTCCATGCTCCTGCAGAGAACATCCAGGGACAGAAGTCTTCTCATGTCCCCTCCTCCCAAGCCCGGCTGGCCACCACCCACGAATCCAGAGCCCGAGCCCTCTGGGCTTTGCAGTCTAACCTGCCCTCCACTTCCCTCGGCTTCCTGTGGCCTTCATGTTAGTGCCCTGTCACTGCCACTGTGCGTCCAGTGCCGCTTGTGGGCAGGGTGGGCTGTGGGGAGGTGGGATGGCTCTTTAACCAAGCCTTCAGCCATGCTACCAATCTGGCGCAATTGGGGTGATTTTTTTGTAATTATAATTATTATTATATTTTAGTGGGACAGTCTTTAATTTTCTAAAGATAGCACTGACATCAGCTTCTCGGCCACCCTGTGCCCGTCCTTGCCGTGGCTGGGCCTGTGACCTCCCGGCTGCCAAGTTACCTTTCCGCGTGGACATTTGCACAGCTCCTGGGGCCAGGTGGCCTACGTGACCCTTATGCTGGAATCACTCGGTCTCCGAGGGACCCAGCCCCAGGTCCCCAATTTCTGGAGCCCTTGGTGGTCCCCAGGGATCCCAGGCTGGCGGCCTGGTGACAGTGCTGAAGAGGACACCTGGGGAGCTGGCTGCGGCATGTGGCCTGGCGGTCATGGGCTGATGTTGTCCCCATCACGGAACTGGGGCGCGTGGCCTGGTCCTGTACACGTGGGTGTGCGGTGTAAACGTGTCTGTGCTGTATGGAGACGCTGTGTGCGAGGAGCCGTGTGTGTCACAGTTACCGATGTTTTGTGTTTATGTTTAATCAAGGCTTTCCCCGCCTCCCTGTAAATTTGCTTCCTGAGAGCAGGCACCCGAGGACCCCCCTTCTTTCGGTATCTCGAGGCAGGAGATGCATCTATTTTAAGATGCCGGGACCCGCCACTTCGGCAGTCCCAACCCCTAGCAATGCCTTAGCCGGGACGCTCGCTAATGCTTTAGGGATGTCACGTCCATGAGGAGAGCTAAGAGAATCTAAAGCATCGGGAAAGGTAAAAAAAAAAAAAAAATCTATTTTTGTACAAATGTAATTTTATCCCTCATGTATACTGGATGATATGGCGGGGGTGGGACTTGTTTTGTTTCTGCTTCTAGAGGTCGAGGTGAGATGCAGGGACTTGGGGCAGTGGGGAGGCTCCGTCAGAGCCTGCCTGTGGACCCTCTCGGGGGCACGGGTGGGAGGCGGCCCGAGAGCCCATGGTCACGCTCGTCCCTGTCCCAGTACTCGGTGGAACCGCGCTGCCCTTCCTGCCTGGCTGCCTTTGTGACCCATTTGACTGTGAAATTCTTCCTCCGTGATTGTTCTCTGCAACACCGAGGCGAGACAGACGCCGGGGTGGGACGGACAGTGGTGTGAGTTGTGGAAGAGACACGAGAAAACCGTGAGAGGGGAAACAAAATGAGCGTTTCAAAATACATCTCCGTTCATTTCTCATTTGTTCTGCATGGGCTTTCCTGTTTGGGTCTGGGAGTCTCAAAGCACAGGGTGGGGAGCCCGGGTCCTTAGGGCCATAGGGCCTGCAGTCAGCCCAGTCCTGCCAGCCCCTTGCCTCCGCCTGGCTGTCTGCCGGCTCCGCACTGGCCCTCCCAGTGGGTCCCTCTCCAAACCTACCTGGGACCTGGCTGGGCCAGAGGTCCTGGAGACGCGTCTCGCAGCATCTGTGTGTGGGCACCAGGTGTGTCCCTGCGTCCCAGCCCCTTCGTCCCTGCTGCCCAGGTGGGCAGGAGCTTCCCACAGAGGACCGCAAAGCTGATGATGTCATTTAACCACCTGATTAACAACAGGTTAATGACGTCCATCTGTGGCATCTCCCATGATAAATGCCTTTTGTCTCCACACTGTCTGGAAGCTGGGCTGCCCCTGGCCCCAAGTTGGTGATAGTGCCCTGGCCTCACACACCTCATCTAGCTGGGCTCCCTCCCAGGGACGCACAGGGTATCTGCAGCTGGGAGTGGGGCCTTGAGGTCCTGGGTCCTGCCCAGTGGTATTGGACAGATGGCATGGGGGCAGTGCCCAGAGCCGGTATGGGCAGAGGCTTTCTGAGGTCATTGCCTCCACGGACACACATGTATGCCATACACATAATATACACACAGCCATGGACATATATACACAGCTGTGCACAGGCAGATATGTATACACACAGACACGTAAACATGTGCTTGTGCACACGTGCAGTCATACACATGTGTTTGCCCACATATGCACACTCATGTACTCCCATGCACCAATTACCTTTACTCAGCCCCAGCACAGGCCGCCCAGGGTGGGGGGAGGGAAGGTGAGCCCCAGCCAGCTGCCCCCCAGGAGGCAGCCCGCACACTTAGAGTCTCCCCTTCCTGGTGTGTGCTTGAGGGGTGGCTGCATCCTGAAACAGACTTGCCTGGGCCTCTGGGTGGCTGATGGCCAGTGCCAGTGACCCTGTTGGGACAGGCACGATGGTGCTTGCCTGAGGAGCTACAGATCCAAGCCCCTGACTACAGGACCCCTCCAGCCCTCCTGCCCCAGGAGGTCAGGGCTGCAACACTGCGTCCCTGGCACAACACAGGTCCGGTGTCCACGGCTGAGGCCAGCCATCTGGGGAGCAGGCGGCCCTGGGCTGAGGAGGTCCCTGAAGTTTGCGAGCTGCCTCTCTGCTGGTCTTGCTTGACCCAGCTCACTCTGGCCCTCATTATAAATTCTTGCCCATCCCAGCTCCACTGGGCCCTTCTGGTCCCTAGGGAGGGTGGCCTCAGAAACAGATGGCCCTCTTCCCACTTCCTAAGTGTTCGCAGGACAGCATGGATGCTGGCCAGAACCAGACCTCAATGTTCCTGTGACCTGGATGCAGCCTCTGTGATGTTCATCCCCAAATGGGTGGGGATCCCTGCGGGTGGTTTCAGGTGAGAGTGCAGGGGAGGAAACGTGACAAGTCAGACAGATGGGTCAGAGGCCACCGGGTCACCGGGAGGCGGAAAGGGAGGGTGCCCCTCCGGTATGGTGGCCCAAGGTGCTGGTCTGTAATAACCCCACAGGGGAGGCACCAGGTGGGGCTACGAGGTGGGTGGGTTTAGGTGGCACAGAGCCCTGGGAGAGGAGGAGGTCCCTAGGGGAGTTCAGGGGACAACTCCCTCCAGGGACATGAGTGCCGCCCACTTCCCAGCCCAGAAGAGCCCCAGGCTGCCTGCACAGCCCCAGCAACCCCGCCTAGGCCTCCCTGTGCTGTCTTTGGTTGTCTTGGCAACGCCAGCTCAGGGCAGTCCCTCCAGACCAGAGATGCTGGGCTTGATAAGTTTATCACCAGCAGAATCAGGCAGAGCCAGGTGGAGCCAGGCTCTGGGTTTGTAACCCGAGACGATGGGATGGGGGCAGGGGCTCAGGTCTCCATTGGGGTGGGGTGGGACCATTCTTGGGCACCCACTGTGTCCCCACCCTGTGCTGGGACCTGGAGCTGAGGGACAGGCTGGCAGTGAGGTGTAGGAAACATTGGTGTCCTGGTGGGAATGGAGCCCGGCCAACCTCCAGGACATTCACAGAGGCCCGGGCTCAGGACGGAGGTAGGGGCTACGGCGGTGTGGAGCATGACGGCTCCCTGCAGGCATCCATGTGGGTCAGGAGGTCCAGGCTGGAAGGGGGCCTAGCTGAAGATTTTGGACCCCCAGCCCCATCGGCCTCAAGAAGGAAGTCCAGGCTGTTGGTCACAGCCTGTGTTTCCCACCACCCTCTCTCTGGAACCCCGGAGAGGAGCCACAACCTGATGGTGCCCCCTCCACCTGCCCTGGTGGACTCACTCAGATGCTTCGGGTATGGAGGGTACACTGGTCCCCAGGATGGGCCTCAGATGTGGGGCAGCACTACCCCCTGCTGGACATGCTGGGACAAGGCGGGTTCCTTCCCGAGTTGGGGTCCACGGGCCTCCTGTACATGAGAATCAACGGGATGTGGAGGATCCAGGTGCCTGCTGCAGCCCGGAAGGGCAAGGGTCAGGAGCTGAGTGTTTCCCCAGTACCATAGGGCTGTACACACAGCACGCTCACTCAGCCCACAGGTGGGAGGCAGGTAGGCCCCTCCCTATCGGCCTCAGTTTCTCCACCTCTGGCCTTGTCATAAGGTCTCAGCCAACTGGAAAATGCCCTGCGGTTTTTGGAGTGAGGAGGCACTCATTCACCAGAAATGAGGAGAGGCAGCTGGGTTTGGGTTTGCTGCTTCCCGGGAAGAAATACCCAGCAGAGGAGTCTGGGGCTGTGCACCCAGCTTCTGGGGCCTAGGAGGGGCATCCTGGCTCATGACTGCTGGGAAGGGGCACTGGGTATATAAGGTGCTGTAGTGGCCTCGAAGGTGAGCAACACGGCCCTTGTGATCAAGGATGTGGCAGAGTTGCCCATGGGTCAAGGGGGGAGGTGGGAGATGTGGAGAAGACTGAGCAGTACCTCATCCCTCCACCCACCTGCTCACCCATCCCCCACTCATCCACATACCTGCCCACCCATTCACCTGTCTACCCATCCGTCTACCCCATCCACTGTTCACCCACCCATCCATCATCTGTCCACCCACCCACCTGCTCACCCATTCACTCACCCACCCACCCACCTGTTCACTCACCCACTCGTCCATCCACCCACCCACCCACTGTCCACTCAGCCGTCTGTCATCTGTCCATGTGCCTGACCATGCTCCTCAGACCCAGGCCCTGCCTGGAGGGATTCTTGTCCACCCCCTATTCCCAGGACGAGAAGGCATCTTGGAGCTGAAGCCGCCCAGGTGCATCAGCCTGACCCAATCCCCTCTTCCTGGTCCTGTCCCCTAGGGTTGGGACTGAAGCCATGTGTCCGGGGCACCACCATGAGAAGGCAGCTCTGAGAGGTTCTGGGTCTCACAAAGAACAGGAGGCCCTGTCCTCCGGGGCAGCTGGCTGGTGTGGGCCTTGGACCAGTAGCTGCCAAGCCTGGGCCAGTTCCCCTGGGGGCCAGCTTGGGAGTGAAGAAGCCAGGCCTGGGGTCCAAAGCGCAGCTGGAGGCCTTTGTCTCCCCTGTGGGCTGGGGTGGTATTTGCAGGGAGGTCCCACCTAGCCTGAGGTGTCGACAGGATGGTAAGGATGTCACTGATGATGGGCAGCCAGGATCAGGCAAGAGTTGGCTGGGTACCTGGCTCTGAGGACTCAGTCATCTTGCAAGCCTGTGTGGCTCTGCTCAGAGCAGGGACCCCTGGGACAAAACCCGGGCTGGGCTAAATTGCACAAGTGGGCACCCAGGGCACTGAGGATGGCACTGCCTGGGCAGAGGCCTTACCTGTGGCCTTCATCTTTTGGGGCCTGCACTGTGGATCCCAGAGCAGGGCATGGAGGGCTCAGGAGGGAAAGACACAACAGCCCACTGGGGACACGGCCACTCCAGAAGGCAGCGTGCAGGTCGCAGAGACAGCGTGCAGGTTGCTGCGACATTACACAGAGTCCAGCAGTGAGTCTGGTGTGGAGATGGGTCACTCCAAGACCCATGCACGAAGCCTTCCGGTAGCCACAGCCCTAACTGTCCAGGACCGGTGCGGTCGAGATGCCACTCAGTAGGCTGGGGCAGTGCTGTGCCCATGTGGTGGGGTGCTGTGGCAGCCTGGGCTCTGAGGAGGACGACTGGGTAGGGGCTGGGAACTGTTAGGGGTGGCTATCTCATCCACTGCCTGAACCCACAGAGCTTCACAGCATGTGAGCTCTACCACACGCATGGTGGAAGTCATAGCACTTAGAGTCTGGGGACTCCAGCTTAAGGATGGACAGATCAGCACCCTGCCTGTGCCCCAGGTAGGAGGGGATGGCGTGGAGTGGAGCGAGGCCATGTAGGCCGGGGCTGAAGGGATTTGCTCGGCTACACCGTTGTCTCCAGGTACGGGCGGGCACTTAGTTCCTGAGGTAGACTGGGCTTGGTGGGGGTCAGTGGCCCCGCTGGAGTGGGGCAGGACAGGCCAGCAGGGGAGAGGCAGGTCCCCATGGTCGATGGGTCAGAGCTGAGGGAATTTGTGTGACAAGCGTCCATGTGTGGGTTAGCGCTCTGGCTCCACTGACAGGTGGAAGTGACTAGTGACCCTGGTGGGTGTGCAGTGTCCATTATGGTCCTCCATCTCAGAACCAGGGCTCCAGGGGCAGGTGGCGGACCCCAGGATGGCAGTAGGAGAGGCACCAGAGGACCTGGAGCTGTCTGCAGGGCCCAGGAGTAAGAGGAAAGCTAAACCAAAGCCCAAAGGCACACAGAGATCACAAGGTGCTGTCAACAGGATGCAGAGGCCACCAAGTCCCCCCTCCCCCATCTAAAGGGTGGAATGAGACAGTGACCTAGTCCCTGGGCCGCCCCTCAAGGTGTACAATCATACCTATAGGTGTGCCCCTATAGGGCTGCCCCTATCAATCAGCGATGCGGGGAATAGAGGAGGGGAAGAGGCAGCCCCCGGAGAACGAGCTTGGG